ATACATATATATAATATATAATATATATGTATATATACATTTATATATGTATATACATATATAATTGCAGGGAGATGAACTGTGCTGTAAACAACATGCCGAAAAGATCTCTGGTCTGTTGGTGCATCGACGTATTGTTTATACATGTTGTTTATCGCCGTTTTTATTTACGCTCGTTTCCGCACCTACTTTATGGGATCACATTCTGTTGCTAATTTATAATTTCTTTACTGCAATTCAGCAGTAGCTTATCAAAATTAAAATTTGAAATAAGGAGTTGGGGCTTTTTGATGTGCCAAGCTTATTTTTGTTTTATAATTCATAAACGTTTTCGATAGAACTAAAAAATGCTTTCAGTTTGCTGTTAGAAAAATTGAAAAATCTGATTTCTTCGTTGCATCTTTTTCCAAATAGTTTTTGGGCGAAACTTTAAGTGGCGTGTATCCAATTGCTTTTGTTAGCTCGATCTTGCTGTGTACATGAGAGAAACATGCCTTTAAATTTAACATTTTTTTTTTCTTTTTTTTATTATACATCTGCAATTTTTTGCAATTATTTGCTTTTTGAATTTCTGAAACCTGCTGGTGGGCTTTTCAAATTAGCTCTTATTTTTGTTTTGCAAATTGAACGACACAACAACACCTTTTGTATTTTAATAACCTCTTAAGACTCTTCCGGTTAGTTTTTCTTATCACCTCATTTAGTGGATGCTAAAAAAGTTTCATTTTATTCTGTTTTTTTTCCAACTTTTCTTAATTAGTCTGCTGCAAATGTAGCTTACGAAATAATTCTTAATCAGTTAAACGTTGAATATTTTATCAAAATTTTAAAGCATCTCAACTTTTGTGTGGCATTCAAAGTCGGGAAATGGGAAGGTGTCAGTGGAAAGGAGCCAAAATCTGGAGTCGAAAAATGTGTATTTGGATTGTCAGTTGCACCTTTATTCGTTTAAGAATTTCTGCAAGATGCAACGGAGGGATACAGGGTTTCTTACATTTAAAGAAAATGGATTTGCTGAAATTAATTCTTCTATAGCTGTCGGTTAATTTAGCTAATTTTTCGAAAATTAAACAGGTCAAAGTTGATAATCTCTAGAGAGAAGGTATTTGTTTTCATCTTTGCTTGGTAATATTCATATTTGGAAGGAGCCTTAAAAAAGTGAATCGGTCACGGCATTCATACACGTCCATTTTCGCTTTTTACCCTCATTGGATCCTTAATTGAAAAAAAAAAAAAACAACAAAGAAATCTGTCAAATATTTTGAAAATAAATTTGCTGACTTTATAAGTTATTTGAAAAATCAAAAAATGTTTTTTTTTTTTTGGCTACAAATTTCTTGAATTATTCTGTCTTTTTTTTTTTTTTTCAAATTTTTGCAAATATCTTCCTTGAAAAATTCGGAAGGGGGTACGCTAGGTGAGATAGGTATTTTGTCAGGGCTATCACCGGTCGTCTCGGCGGCTTTCCCTTGGATTTATTCTGCGGTTCCTGAGTGCCTATTTAAGCCTGTTATTCCTCTTTAGGACGAGTACCCTGCTAAGTTTAGAAAGATAGATCGGGTTGATTCCATCTTTACAGGGATTTTAAAATGATAATGTTCAGGAATTTTGAACGATCGTAAAGAGAGTTATGGTGGCTAGTGGAGAGTGACCAAAAGCTTAGCACAACTTGTAAAATGTACTGAAATCACAATTTCTTTTATTTTTAATAAATTTTATCATTTAAAGAAAGGCTTTTGCTAGCAGTCTTTTGAACTGCCTCATCTTTTAAGATAGATTGTTCTACCCCTCGCTTCAGCGACCTTTTTTATATTTTTTATTTTTTAAGTGCTTTGCTTCTTGTTGTTTTACCCTGTTGATTTGATCTTCGGAATAGATAGAAACTCATTTACCACTCTAAAGCTCCATTCTTCTTTATTTCCAAGCAATTTTCCCTGTATTTCTCAGCATTTCTCATTGGTAAAAATTTGTATATATTTATTGGCAGTTTTTTAAAATTTACTACAATTTAATTTGCAATATGGCTTGTTAGACGTTCAAACTGATAGCTTATAAATTCAAGATTCGGCAGGATAAAGGAAACTGGAATTATTTTTTATACATCCGTACGACCTAACAGTTTATGGTAACATGTAGAGGCAGTGGTGGAAGTGGTGTTGTATTGGTGTGAACAAACTGATATGAATGAAGTATTGGACAGTCTCACGCAAGCAGGTGAAGTTACCTCCAGATCCCTTCTCTTTCGAATTATAGTTTTGAACAAGGAATCATCAAAATTACTCGTGATTTTCATTGAGTTCAGTAAGCTGTAGTTTCCGTTTGAAGTTGTGAGCAGTTTAGACATTGTTCACTCCAATCAATAGTCTTTCTTTGTAACTGGTAACCAAGTGGAGGCCTAGAGTAAATTATAAGTACAGGCTCTTTTATCTGAATTTTCCTCACTGTAACCTCGAAGACAGAATTAGGATGTTGAAGCGTTTTAGAAAAGTGTTGTGTTTGTGGAGATATTGCCGATGGTTATCACTATGGAGTTTTGTCGTGCCGGGGATGCAATGCTTTTTTTCGTAGAGCGGTTACATACAATCTACATTTTATTTGTCGCCACGGAGGAACTTGTCTTGTAGACAAAGGTTGGTTGTTTTTAGAGAAAGATATGTTCACATCCATTTCAAATTTTTCCGCAAATGCAACGAAGCCCATAAGTATAAATAGCCTTAAATTTTAGATGCCCGATGCGCTTGTCGTGCGTGCCGTCTGAGGAAATGTGAACAAATGGGGATGGACCGAAAAGGTAATCTATTTTTTGGAAATAAGTGTAATATTTGGTTTTAAAGTTTTGGATTTGTTGAAAACAGAAATTCTATTCTTTTTCATAACATAAATCTTTTTTTCCCCTCTAGACTTCTTAAGTAACACATTCTTTCACAGTTGATGGTTGAAAAACCTAGGTGTTTATCAGAAGTGGTAGGCCAAAAAAAAGTTTGCTGTTTATTTGCAACTGTCCTTTTGTCAACAAAAATTAGCTTTTAGTTTTTTCTCTCCATCTCCAGAAGTTTTATATAATTTCAATCATAAAAATGCATTATTTATAGCAGTGCAGCCAAAACGTGAAAATGTTGCTCGATTTGAACTTACATCAGAAAGTAATACCGGGCTAACGTCGTATACGGATTCTACCAAATCTCCGGGTCAACTTTCACTTTCTGATTTGTTCGTCTTGTCTACCGAACTACCACATGTGGTAAGACGAAGAATAACTTTTAACCATCATTTGTGGTTCTTCGTATAATTAAGGTTTAAATTTTTCATTCAGTCCTTCTACCAGGAATTTGACAACCTGAATTTTGAAAACAGGGAAAAATGCAGCTATAAAAGTTGTGTCAAACTCGACTCAAAGTTTGAGATTTCAAAATATTCAGATGGTTGTCTTAATGATGTGTGGACTGTTAAGGAATGCTCGAGTGACGGATGTCGCAGTTCCTGTGAATCAGTTCCAGAAAATCTGTACATAGCACAACTAGCTAAGGACTATAAACTACAGGTAAACGTTAAGAAAGCTTTTTACTAAAATCCCTCTCCTTTTCCGGTATAATCCTTAAAAATGTGGTGATTTCTCCTTTCAACTATTTAGCGTTTAAAACGCTATATGCTGTTATGTAATTCGATCGAAGAGATCCTATCTGTCGACAAGGAAAAAGCACTGAAAAGGCCAGCGACCGAAGACGATTATTCGTCAATTTTTGAGGTTCAGATGGAGCTGATGTTTGAGTGGGTAAATGGTTTGCCAGACTTCAAGTGAGTTTTGAACTCTTTTTATCGGTCGTTTCTCGGTAAAATATACTCTTATTGATATTTTTTCAATAAAGTCCCAAGTAAAAACTTCGAGTATCAAAAAGTAGCAGTAGCGGACAGTGACAGCTTTGACACCACAGTAACCTAACAGTTATTTTCGATGGACAGATTTATCACTGTGAACTGTTTTTAAACTTCACCTTTTTATACCATTCCGGACCGTTAAAATAACCTGAAAGATGCCTCAATAGAGGATTGTTAATTACACTGTTAACGGTAAGAATGCAACAATCCGAAACACATCTTTTGCAGAGCAATACAGAATCCAACTGATAAAGTGATGTTACTACGTTCGTTCTCATTTCGTTACCTACTACTTGACAACGTATTTCATTCTGTGGAAATTGGTAGTGAAGATCAAATTGTACTGGTCAACAACACTTACATAACTCCTGGCCTCATACCGCCACACCGCTCTGGCGAAAATCCAAACAGCCGATTGATAAAGAAGACGTAAGCAAAACTTTATTGGACGCAATGCTTTTAAATCTTAGTTTCTTTTTCTTTCACGAGCCAAATTCCTAGCTCGCCCGTAAACAACCAGCTGTTTGTATTATTGAAGCACATCAGAGTCCTCCAAACAGTAGATTTATTCTTCAGTCAAGGACTGAATAATCAAACTTCTGCGGTTTCAGTTTTCTCTAAAGACTCCTGCAGTGTTTTCAGGATGTATGGCGATGCCAGCTTCTGCTTGTTAGACGATCTCATTAAGCCTATGATTCAAATGCAGATCAGCGAAGGTTGAACTTTTTTTATCATATTTTTTGGACTCCTCAGTACGCTATATATGACGAGAGACAATTTTCAGCAGAGATGATGGCTCTTCGGCTGTTTATTTTTTGGAATCCCGGTGGGATCAGCCTCTCCGAAACTACAAGCTGTATCGTACAGACGGCCGGAGATAACGCTATCAAGGAACTTCACATGTGGTATTGCGATCAAAACTTACAGGATGTTGATGGGCGCCTGAACAGTATTTTACTTCTACTCCCCATTCTTGTTGTGAGTTTTCATTCTTCAACAATAAGCAAGCAGTTACCAGGCTGCCGATCAGTCCTTGGGCTCCCGTGATCTTAAAATTGCAATTGCAGAAGCACTCGCAAAACTTGCTCGAGATGGCAAAACAGATTCCATACTTTATTTCAATGAAAGATCTCGACCCATCGCTGCGATGCCTCCTGCGAAGCTAATACCACTCATTTTCGGCTACTTTCTTGAAGACAAGTTTTCGCAAAGACCTCTCGTGCTGTTTCCTGGCAGTTTATGCGATAGCATCTTAATCTTAAAGTACTACCTCCAAATCTTTGCAGCTTGCTTTTTTTTTCTTGAGAGGCACGATTTAGACTGCTTACTGAACATGGCATGCAGAACGCCACAAAAGTAGTCAAAAAAGGGCCACCTTATAATGGCAAGCAGCCACCTCAACATTTGAAAGTCTTCCTCACTTTCCTTCGACATGTCTTTCAGTCACTTCTTCCTGAAGATAATACCAAAAACAAATTTCCAACTTGTAATAGCTTCTTTCCCACTGTTCTTTCACATGATGTTCACATCTAGAGTAATGTGCCATCTATAACTTCTATTTCCTGTATTATACTTAAGTTAAAGTCGGGCCTGACTGCTGAACTCGGTTCTTTCTACTTTACCTCAAGGCTTCTTTGTTTGGCCTCCCAGTGTATTGTGATATAAGTTGTTTATCCGCTAATTTTGATAGTAATAAAGTTTGATTTAGAAAGCTACTGAAAACGTCGACACAATTCTTTCAGTGTTTGAAAAAGGTTCTAGCACCTTTATAAATGCATCGGAAAAGCTCAGAGCGTAAGGCCCTCAATTCTGGTTTTAGAAGATTACAATGAAGGGGAATGGCAGTTTGTTTACTTAATGCAATGAAATACAACCTTCAACTTACAGGACTGCACCAACTAATATTCAAACTTATTAGAGCTAGTGAGGACAGTTCTATGAAAGGAAACGACTAGAAATCCAACAAATAAAGACCACGTGACCATAAATCTTTTGAAGCGAAACTGCATTTTGAAAGATCCATTCGGTGCCAGACTCGATTTGCTCCATCTGAAACTTGACATTATTGAATGGAGTCGAGAAAGATTTCAAAGCTGCCACTTGCTCCTGGATGTGCCGCTTCAGCGGCAAAAAACTTGCATTTGTAATTTTTTACACGAAATAACAGCCTTAGTAAACTTAAAGGTGCTTAGTATGAGCAAGTTTCAAAAAAATTACTTGTTGGAATTCTGAGTTATTCTTTCAAGAACGGTGGGACTTTATGTAGTTCATCAGTCCATTTGTACTAGCATCATGGGTGCTAACCGGAGTAGTCGTAGTAATTTCTGGCAAAATTTTAGATGCTAGCTGCTTACCAAGTTCAACACTAAAAAGCCAAATACCAGTCTTATTTCTTGTAAAAGAAAACGGTTCATTTCAAGATAGAATAACTACATCTAAAATATAACTGTGAAGCAGTGGAAGCAAAGCAGCAATCAATAAAACACTTTGAAGAGCACTGTAATCAGCACTGTAATATAACTATAATTTCTTAGACTTAGCAGGAAAAGCTACTCATGGATTTTGCCTTGCTGGCAAGTAATCTTCACCAGAAAAGCGACCCCTAATTTAGAAGGACTTTTATGTTTGTGTTAATTTCTCAAGGAACAAAGCCTGCTTTATATTTTGGCGGCCTAAATAATTCACCTTATAACTGCTCTTGGGTTTCTCGATTTTTCAACCTATAAAAAAACCAAAAATGGCTCTTAAATCTGCTTTGCCAATTTTATTCAGACCAGTTCTGACTTTTAATTAGATTTTACCTGAGAGACTTAGAAACACGTCTGTTCATGATAATCTAAGTGATAAATTCCCACTAGGCCATAAAAAAAGGATATCAGAACCAGCAACATATGAAGAAAAAGCTACCCGAATTGGTCGTAACTGTTGATCTTCCAAATAACGCCTTGAACGAATATCTTATGCTCATAGAGTGCTATCAAAGCACCTAGTGTAGATGGAGTTATCTTTGTCAGTAGAAATGAACTGGTAGGCCGGTTGCCTTCAAACATCTAAAAAAACTATTGTAGCCAATTGTTACAGAAGGCCAAGTTGCTAACAAAAATACCTTTAAAAACTCCACTCACTTCTAAACCAGTAAATAATTACATAACAGTTAAAGCTGCTGTACTAAAAATGAGCCCTCAAGATTAAACTCACGGGTTTAAAATTTCATTTACTTTAGACAGTAATCGTCAACCAATTTTTGTATACTCAAAGGGAAGCTAAGAAAATTTAAAAATGACGATAGCTTAATTACTCCCGTATCTAAATAACAGCTACACTACCTTATGTGGGAAAATCTTTTTCATTTGTTCTTCCTGCATACCGGAAGCCATCAATTCCTTCTTTGCTTCTTCTTCAGTCTTTCCTTTCATCAATGCCTCAGTTTGAGCCAAAAAGTTGGAAAGCAAAATCTAGAACAGAAAGTTATCAAGTCCTAAGCGTAGTTTGCAGGTGAGGCGACTCTACCATACAAAATTGTTCAATGAAGGCCTCAAGAAAACTACGAGTTATATTCCACAGTACTTCATTTGGATCACACTCTAAAAATCTCACTTTCAACTATAAGATTAAAAGATTATCTATTTCCTGCGAAAAACCTTATAGTGCTCCAGTAAAAAAACAGTCAGGTGATCCTGTTTAAAAATGTACAAAACGTTCCCTGCCAAGATTCAAAATCTAATAAGAAACAAGTCCGACACACATACATTATGGTGTAGGTTATTCCTAATAGGATTAAGGCTGTTCACCGGGGCAATAAAATCTGCAGGTATCAATCTCGTCCCTAAAAAAAAACAAGAAGAGCTGGTAACAAAATAATCCAGCAACAAGTTTTTAATGAAGTGAAATCGACCAAAAAGTTTCAGCACTAAATAAAAAATAAAAACTAAATTACAATTAGCTCAATCCCCATTCCACATTTCAATAGTCAGATTCATCACAGCCCACTTACTAACAATTTCCGAACAATTGGACGCCATACAGTGTGGGTCAACTTAAGTACTTTACCTTTAGGATTTCATCACAGTTTTAACCTTAAATTCATCTCATAATGCAATTATGCAACAATGCACTAGCCTTGATGAATCAACTGATAAAAAGCGTGCTGGCCATTTGTTCCAGGCTCTCCCCAAACGATCGGTCCAGTAGAATAATCAACATGGACCCCGTCCCTTCAACGATAAATGACAAAGTTTACAAACTAGCTGCTGAAATAATCATACCGAAATCAAAACTAAAAATTACCTGGTAACAAATTTACCGTTACTCTCCATATCACCTTGCTGGAAATAAGCAGCGAACCGATGCATATATTGATCGTATGGTAGCAAAGCGTGTGTTTCTGCATTATACAGATTGATATAAAGAATCCCGAGAAGACCCATAATGACTGGTATCTGAAATTTTCATCCAATCAAGATCTTGAAAGCACAAAGAACTCAAGGACTTGCAGTAACTGTAATTTATTGCAAAAACTGTAACGCTAAGCAGCTCAGGAAAACAAAAGAAGCTTTTACAATACGCAATCAGCATTTGAATCAAGTTCTCTTTTTTTTTTACGAAACTCATCTAAACCTAAATATAGAACCAATTACCATAGTAAAAGTGATACATAACTGTCTGACTCAATTCCACAAAATCCAAACAAAAAAAAAAACTGTCAAAAAATCAGCAAGTGCAGCAGAATTCATCGTTAGACGCAGTGACTACTGAGGCAAAGACGTCAAATTCATCAACTAACATATAGTCAAAGTGAGACATTCCCATAACCTAGAAATCCCTTCTAAATAAAATTTAATAAAGCTGACATTTTTTTCCAACGGACTTTCGACAAAATGTTCATCTGCAGCATTGGCACCTTCAAGAAGGCTATGGAAATTTTCAAAGCCAATATGTACTGCTATCGAGAGACCAATTGCTGACCAAAGTGAATATCTGCCTCCAACCCAATCCCAAAATGCGAACATATTTGCCTCGTCGATACCGAAAGCCTTAACCTTCGGTGCATTCGTGGACAGAGCGACGAAATGTTTAGCTACAGCTTCGGGTTTCTGGAAACTAATGTTCACTAAAAAGTTCGGAAAGATATGAAAACTCCTAAGAAGCAAAATACTCCTAATGAGCTGACGAAACACCTTTGCTGCTGCTAGAAACCACTCCTTAGCTGACTCAGCATTCGTGATAGTTTCTTGAGTAGTAAACGTTTTTGACGCAATAATAAAGATTGTAGTTTCTGGTCTAACTCTTTTCAAAACCTAAATAAAAAATTTTATAAGCACGACAGCAGTAATTAGTAAATAAAATGTGAAAAAAACCGTTTTTGTTGAAAACTTCACCTCATGAAGATGAGTTCCATCGATATTCGAAACAAAGTGCACTTTAGGTCCTACTTGGTAATGACGTAAAGCTTCAGTCACCATCAGTGGACCCTAAAATCAAGAAACGCTGCTGACAAACTGCTTGGTTGTATACTTGTTGAATCAAAAGGTTCCAAATTTTCGCCCCTTCTAATTGGATTCAAATTATGATGTAAAAACAGTTTGACTAGAAATGTATTCATCCAGCCTGACCAAGTCTGATCCTCCAATACCAATATTGACAACATCTGTTATTTTTTCACCGGTATATCCTTTCCACTCGCCACCAATAACTTGATCACAAAACTGCTTCATGTGAGCCAAAACTTTATTAACGTCTTCAGTCACCTTAAAAAAAAAAAGTAAAACTAAAACCAATGAAACCGGTCGAAATAATAAAAATTTTAAAAAAAACCAACGTTTTGCGACCCCAAAGTAATAGGTCGGTTCTTCACATTTCGTAAGGCCGTATGAAGCACTGCACGGTCCTCTGTAAAATTAATCTTTTCTCCAGTGAACATAGCTTTACGCATGTCTTCTACGTGACGAGAACGAGCCTAAAAAGCAAAAATTGAAACATTGCTTTGATAACCAGTCAAAATTCCTCACTAAACAAAGCAAAAGACTGTAACACAAAAGAATTACCAATGCGAACAATTTCGCCATCAACTCTTCATCAACAAGATTTTTTGAATAGTCGAACAATATTTGTCCATTCGGTACATCAAGCTTCAAACTGAAAACACGACTCCAAACTTCTTCAACACATTTTCCCAATCAAAGATAATTTTTTAACCTTATTCAGTTTAGTAATCAATGACCAAAATTATGGGCTAGTCTTTACAAGAGCATCACGAGCTACTAAAAAAGTTATCTGCTACTTCCTCAAAAAAGTTAGCAGCCGAATATGACAAGTTACAAAACTTACCTAAGTTTTTCAAAACGCTGCGGGTCATTTTTGAAAAGCTCAACTAATTTAAGCTTTTTTCCATGTTCATCAAAATACTTCTTCAGGTCTTGAAAAGCACTATCTGCGTTCAGAGACATTTCGAGTGGAAAAGTTCAGAGTAACTGTAAAACAAATGTATGGAAAGAAAGACTTATTACGAGAAAAGAAACAGCGCGCAGGAGAAACCATAAGTGAAAATATTATTGTTGTTGTTTTTATTACTTACTATTGTTATTAACTGCTAATTATTTTTATAACTATCACAGTTATTATCGATTATAATTGTTATTGTTCCTATCATTCTTGTTATTCTTATTATTTGTTCTTATTCTTATTAACTAAATTGTTATTATTATCATTGTTACTACTATTATTATTAATTATTATTATTCTTATCATTCCCCTTATTCCTATGACTCTTATCATTATTCTTGTTACTATTATCATTATGATTATTAATTTCAAAAACAAAGAAACGACACTGCCAGAAAGGAGCAGAAAGCTAGAATGCATTACGTAGAGAATCTACCTACTACATATTGTTACTGCAAATGTGCACGTTCACTTTTCTAGTCAAAATTACAGTCAATAAATTTTACATGCGAGAATGGGCAACAGCAACAATAACCACAACAAAACTGATAATTAAAGCAAAAATCCAAATGACTGGCTGTAACAGAAATGCGGAAAGAAAAAGCCAATAAGGAAAACTCCAAAATCCGAAAAGGAAAAGTCTTTAGCGCTCAATAACATTGGATGATTTCAGCCTGCGTCCAGAATTTAAACCGCTTCAATAACACACACCGCTTTCACAGAGTACAGCCGCAACAGACGGCCAAAAAAACTGAGCAGACATACAGGGACACACGATATTACTCGTTGGTTTACACCAAGCTGCTGCTAATGCAACATCAACCCAACCTGAATTAGTCTTAGTTGGACGGGGGCGCCAGGCTTACTCTGGGTAAAAGCTACACGCAGGTTGCTAGTTGGACGGTAGAAAGTTGCCAAACTACTGCTACTGCAAACCTGTAGTGATGGTTCTATACAGGTAATTTAGTGTTGTGAAACAATTTCTATTACCGTTGTTTTTGCATTTATCAGTTATTATGTTGACTATGCCAGTGCATGAACAGGATTTACTTTGCATTTACTGACGACGTTGCGGCGAACATCAACTCTACAGCTCCATACATTAATATTGAAGACAGCACTTAGTCGCTTAGTAGTTTGGAAACTGGAATAAAACTGCTGTTTGTTTGAGCCAGAAAGAAGTTATTGCTTTCTTTTGCCTTAGTAGTTCATTTCGGACACTCGAATGCATAACTGCTGCCTAGACAACGTTGCAGACCGATTTGGAGCTTTATTTTAGTTGAGCATGCCAACCCCTAAAGATATTTTTCTTGATAACTTCGTTTTTTTGTATACGAGGCCGTTTTTGGACATCACCTAATTCATTTAGAGTTCCAGATTCGTCTTTATAGCTTTTGCTGACTATCTAACGATCCAGTGCTGAAATCTCGCTTCAATCTTTTCGCTATTTCACAATGCTCTTTTAGTGAAACTGGTGGTGTAATGGATAGCACAGGCAATTTGCAACACATCCCGAGGAATCTGGTGGTGTAATAGATAGCACAGACAATTTGCAACACACCCCAAGGAATCTCGACGGTTCAATCCAACCCACCCCCTCCTCCCTTGTGTAATTCGCCCACTCACAGCTCTCACAAATGTTGAACACCTTTTGATCTGCTAAAAATGCATATGCGAGTTTTACCCGAACACGTGGGACCTGAAAAATGCCACTCAGCGATTTTATTTTCTACAGGACTCTGTTTTTACCATTTAAAAAACGTCTGTAGCTTTTTCTTAATTCAGAAAGATAGTTAAAACATAGAAGAAGTAATCTTGAGAATTCAACAAAGTAAGGAGAGACGGCTACAGATTACGTTTTTCACAGTCAGTTGCAGAGAATGTAGCCAGTCAAAGTGAAACTAATAAGACAAGTTTCAACTTTTTTGAAAAACTGCTTTTAAAGGAATATATAGGATATAAGATTATAGAGCAATTCAATTCGTTGGTCATTTCAACAGCTTGTTTATAATTTTCAGTTGTGTGTGGTTGCAGAATAACTTATTAAGTCACTCCGCATCGACTGTCACATGCAATTTTGCATAAATTTTTAGTGGAAGGTAAACTGGAATCAGTGGCTAAAAATATGAATTACTCTTCAAGTGAAAGAAATTTGCAAAATTATTACTGTCAGTGCCATGGACAGAAAAAAGGATAGTGAGTGAAATTTACTTTGGCCATAAAAAAAAAGGGGAGGAAGGAGCGAAAAGTCGTCGTTGTTCAAAATTGCCTTCAAATGAGATTTTTTTAAAGAACGGAAACTGCCAGCAGAAGATATGAGAGAGGTGAAACAGTATTCATAAATTATCGATGCAGTTGATTATTATGGCTAAAATGAGGAACAATTGTACAACCGTTTGAGAGTTCTGTGAAAGAACGGTATATCAATCTTCAACAATTAAGAATTGCTGAGACCTTAGCCTGCGGAGGCTAATGTAACTGGCTAAATGACTAAAATAAAGAATACTTATGATTAAAACATATAAGTACTCCATAAAAAAAAAAAAAACTGTCAGTAAGAGCAAGTAGAGGAATGAGCAGCTAGAACTCAATTACATTGAGTGAATGGTAATTTTTTTTGCTGAGGTTTGTCATTTCGCGAACGAAAGCAGAAAAAAAATGGTAGATTAACTTTTTGTTCTTTTGACATTAACAACAGCTACAGGAAAAGAAGAAGAAACGCTGGCATTACGAGTAGATATAAATGATTCCAGAATAAAAATTGGCTGGTTGTTTAGGAATAGAGGCAGTCAGAGAAAGGTGGTGGTTGGAGGAACGCGAGAAGAAGTGCGTAGACATGAGGAGGCTGAAGAAGTGAAGAAACTTGATGAAGAACAGAGAAAAGGGGCGAAATAACATTGCCGCACAGAAAACTTGCAAATTTGCTGCTGTTCAGTGACAAAATTTGGAGCACCCCCTCGCTTAGGGATTGCACAAGGACGGAAATTTTTCTGGTTAGTCCAAAAAATTGGGCTGATTGCAGTGCCAAACTGACTTTAGGTCTATGGCCAGTGAAGCCTTGCAAATTGTATGATCTAAATGTTTTTCCATTTTGAGCTGAGTTAGGCAGCGATTGTGGATTTTTGGTTAATAGAGCCATGTTTAATGGCTGGAAGAAGTATACGTTTTGCAGCTCCATGAAGTTCCTTTAAATGATGAAGGGAGAGGAGTAGAAACAGAAAATTTTAAGCTGACGTGGAAATCAATGGCTGTGTGGCGAGCTTGAGAAAACGTTATGAAGCAAAAGCTTTCAGCTTTTGAATTTTATAGTCTTGTAATTATGGGTGCGCTGAAAGTTTCTGGCTGGGAGGCTGGGACAGCGCATCAGTGCAACGTGATTTCCATCTCCTTCTGTCCTTAACAGCATTCACTTATCAGACCGCTTCCTTTTTTTCAAGTGTTTTATCCATCCTTTGGCCGCGCAGCTTCATTAATTCATTATATTGCTCTGAACTCTGTAATACCGTCTCTGTATAACAATTCAATGTTATAGTTATCATGTGAGGTACGAAAAATTATTGTTTTTAGAAGTGTTCACTGTTATTTGCGTGGGAAGTGACAAGTTTTTTGTGTTAAAAAAGGAGAAGTACGGAGAATAAGCATTCAGCTGGTAAAAGTAATAAAAAATTTTAGGTAAGCATAATTAGTGATGAAAGTAATTTTTCCTTCTGTTCACTGTAACTGTTTTATGATAGCTAATCAGTGAATTTTTAGTGCAGTCTTGATTGTTTCACATCGGCTGTAGTGTTTTTGTTGAGCAGGGCAGTAACTTGAATTTCAAACGACAGAATTGGCAGCGAAAGGAGCAATATCTGGTAATCACTTCTCCATATTTTATGGTTTATTCTTACCATAAAATTGCGTTGAAAGCAGTAAGCTACGCGGATTTTGTTGTTCCCGTACTTATGCTGTTCGTTATATTGCAGACTG